TTCTCCCCTCAAGGGAACATCATCATATTAAGGGCTTCTTTATTGCATACAATTTTCAGATTCATTCTAGATTATATTATACAACCACAAATCTTCATACAGTTAAAGGCAGAAAATTAATACTTACCACAGTTTGTAATTTTCTAGGCTGTATTTGATGCTATTGTTACTGTTGCTTGTACTACTTTAGACAAGGTGACATAATCAGTTGATCCTCTTGGTATACCAAAACTGAGATTGTCTAAGGGTCTTTAAAAAAAAAGCCTGGGCCAGGGATATGATTCAGTGACATCATGCCTGCCTCACAAATGCAAGGTCCAGAGTTTGGTGCCCAGCACAAAAAACAAAAACAAACAAACAAAAAACTCTATAGGCAGTACAAAAGAACTGGCAGCTGGACTGAGTAGGCAAAAACTTCTCATCCTCAATAAATTGAAGATGTGTGATTTTGCAATAGACTCAAAACCCAAAAGCCAGCTACACCTGGAAGACACGTATGAGAAGTAGTCATTTCCTAAGTTCTGAATACTGGCAATAAAACTACTCACCATAGGCAATTTACAAGCATTAGCCCAGAAATCAAACTTTTAAAAAAGCAGAAAATGAGAAGACACTTAAACTAGATACAAGCCAGATTTTTAGCTCACCAAAGGCAAACCCCAGGGACAGAGAGGTGGAATAATCCAAAAGCCACCCACCAGGACTCTTTGAAGTGGTAACAGCAGAAGTAACAAAGCAGATGCACAAGGCTTGAGAAAAAAAATAAATGCAGAAATAATTTCCCAGATAACTACAGAGATGGTGACTAGAATGCAAGACATGCTTATTAAGTCCAGAGAAAATGTGGATTAAAAAAAAAAACAGAGGAGCTCAGGAACATAATGGAAACCATTAACACCCAGCATAGGAAAAAAGTGGAAATCATGAATGACCAGCATATGAAAGAAATGGAATCCATAAAACAGATTCAAATAATTATCCAGGCTATTAATAACGCCACTGTAAGTATACAAAGCAGAATGGGCTAGTGTGAGGATAGAATATCAGATACAGAAGACTGCAGTTAGTGATCATGAAAAAAGAGATTTCTTTAAAATATCAAGGGACCATGAGAAATCAATCCAGCAGCTGCTAGATGATGCAAAGAAGAACATAAGACTGAATGGAGTCAATGAAAAAGCAGGAGAGCTCAAATGACATAAAAAACCTACTCACAGAAGTAATGGCAGAAAACTTCCCAATAGAAAAAAAGGATTTGACGTACAGAATAAGTGAGGCATATAGGACTCCAATAATTAGCCAAGATTTTTTTAAAAAAATCTTCCTCAAGGAAAGATTCCTGAAATTCAACAAAAGGACAGTATATTAAAAGCTGTTAGAGAAATACATACATACATACAAACAAATCACATATAAAGGAAAGCCCATCAGAATCACAGCAGGCTTCTCAACACAGACTCTCAAGTCAAGGAGAGCCTGGAGTGAAGTATTTCAAGCCCTAAAGGAAAACCTCCAATCCATGGAGAAATAAGATAATTCCATAACAAAAAAACACCTGAATAAATTCATGGCCACCAAACCACTCCAAGGTGTTCTGAAGAATATTCTAGAAGGAGATAACAAGGATTACAACTCCATAAATCCCAACCGAATGAATCAACCAGACAAGGCAAGAAATTAAAAAGAAAAGGAAGCCAACAAGAGGAAAATAACATGACAGAGATAAAACAACATGTATTAGTTATAACTATCAATATTAATGGTCTCAATTCACCAATCAAAAGGAACGGACTAGCAGAATAGACAAGGAAACAATATCCAACAATATGTTGCATATAAGAAACACATTTAGGGCCTGGGATTTAGCTCAGTGGTGCCACTGCCCACCTCGCAAGCACAAGGTCCTAAGTTTGATCCCAAAGTATAATAAAAAAGAAAGAAAGAAAAAAAAGAAACACATTTAACTCAAAAATAAATTCACAGACTGAAAGTTGAAGGATGTAAAACAACATTCCATGTGACAAGAACCCCCAAAAAAGCAGGGTTAGTGATTCTATTTGCAGACAGATTGGATTTCAAGTCAAGACTAAGAGACAAAGAATGTCACTATATCCTTATAAAGGAAACAATGTGAGAGGAAGCGATAACAATCCTAAATATATATGCACCAAATAGCAGTGCATCCAAGTATACAAAACAAATATTAATGGACATGATAAATCATATAAGTGCTAATACAGTTGTAATGGGGACCTCAATACCCCACTGCCACAAATAGACAGATCAACTAGACAAAAAATCAACAATGAAATATTAGAGCTAAACCAAACTCTTGAACAAATGGACTTAGTAGATGTCTATAGAGTATTCCATCCCACATCAGAATACACATTCCTCTCAGGTGCACATGGAATGTTCTCCAAAACAGACCACAAACTAGCTCATAAAACATACTTAAGTAAATGCAAAAGAAGTGAAACTATCCCATGCACATTACCAGAACACTGTGCAATGAAATTGGAAATCAATACCAAAAGAAACTACAAGAGAGCAAGGGATTTGGCTCAGTGGTTCCACCGCCTGCCTTGCAAGTGCAAAGGTCTGAGTTCAATCCCCAGTTAAAAAAAAAAAAAAAGAAAAAGAAAGAAACTACAAGAACTTCATAAACACATGGAAATTAAATAACACCCTGCTGAACAACCAATGGGTCACAGATTAAAGAAAAAATAGGCAGCTTGAAAAGGAAATGGGATAAAACTTATGAAAGAAAGAAGGAAAGAAATCAATCAGACAATTTCTACAATTAAATGATAATGACAATACAACATACCAGAACTTATGGGATGCAATGAAAGCAGTCTTACAAGAGAAATGTATAGCAGTAAATACCCATATCAAGAAATCAGAGTGGCCTTAAATAAACAACCTAATGTTGAACCTGAAGATTCTAGAAAAAGAAGAGCAAATTATGCCCAAAGCTTGTAAGAAGGAGGAAATTATTTTCAAAATCAGAGCAGAGGACCAGGGATTTAGCTCAGTGGCATCATACCTGCCTTGCAAGTACAAGGTCCTGAGTTCAATCCCCAGTACAAAAAATAAATAAATAAACAAACAAACATCAGAGCAGAAAAGGGCCAGGGATGTAACTCAGTGGCACTGTGCCTGCCTGGCAAGCACAAGGTCCTGAGTTTGAAACCCAATACCAGAAAAATAAAATCAGAGCAGAAATTACTGCAATGGAGACTAAAAAACAATACAAAGAATCAATGAATCAAAGACTTGGTTCTTTGAAAGATTAAATAAAGTTGACAAACCATTAGCCAACCTTATCAAAAAAAGGAAAAGAACTGGGCATGGTGGCGCATGCCTGTAATCCCAGCACACAGGAGAATCACTGTGAGTTTCAGACCAGCCTGGGCTACATAGTGAGTTCTAGGTCAGTTTCAACTACATAGTGAGACCCTGTCTCAAAAAAACAAAAAAAGAAAAAGAAAGAAAGAAAAATAAAAATTTGTAAAAAGACTCAAATTCATGCAATTAAGAATGTAAAGGGTGAAATCACCACAGATCCTACAAAAACCCAGAAATCCAGACCAACAATACCTATTTCAAGAACCTGTAGTCTAATAAGATAGAAAATACAGAAATGGAGATTCCTAGATATATATAAATTACCAAAACTGAAACAAGATATAGAAATTCTAAATAAGTCAGTATCAGCCAATGAAATTGAAGATGTAATTTAAAAACTACCACAATAAAGAAAAGCTCAAGCCCGGATGTATTCACTGCTAAACTCTACAAGAAATTTAGAGAAGACCTAATGCTGCCACTCCCAAACTCTTTAAGAAAACTGAAAGGGAAGCAATACTCCCAAATTTATTCCTAGAAGCAAGCATCTTTATTCCAAAACCAAAAAAGGATCTAACCAAAAAAGAGAAATACAGGCCAATCTCCCTATTAAAAACACAGAATGCAGCAAATTATCAAGATGGTTATACACCATAACCAAGTTGGATTCATCCCAGGGATGCAGGGATGCTCAACATATGCAAATTAATAAATGTAATACACTATATTAACCAAGCCAAGGACAAATACTAATATGATCCTCTCAACAGATGCGGAAAAAGCATCTGACAAGGTCTAACACCCATTCATAGTTAAAAACCCTACAGAAAATTGGTATAGATGGTCTTTATCTCAATCTGTTACAAGACTTCTATGACAAACCAACAGCTAACATCATACTCAATGGGCAAAAACTGCAAGCTTTCACTCTAAAATCAGGAATAAGGCAACGATGTCCACTGTCACCACTCTTGTTCAATTATCTCTGGAAACACTAACTAGAGCAATCAGACAAGAGAAAGAAATAAAAGAAATAAGGATAGGAAAGGAAGAAGTTAAATTATCATTATTTGTGGATGACATGATACTCTATGTAGAAGACCCCAAAAGCTCCACTTCTAGATGTGATAACCAAACTCAGTAGTGTAGCTGGATACAAAGACAACACTCAAATATAAATAGCCTTCCTGTATACAAATAAAAAACTCAATGAGATTAGAGAAACAACCTATTTCACAATAGCATCCAAAAAAATGAAGTACCTAGGAATCAATCTAATAGAGAAAAACATTGAGGATATGCTCAGTTTAATCCTCAAGGGGGATAAAACAGAAAATGAAAAAAAAAAAAGATTTAAACTATAACACCAGAGAATCTGACAGTCCTATAGTCATGGAAGACAAGACAGATGAAAAGTGAAAATGAGTAACTCCCAGACGACGACAGGCATGGTGGCACTCACGAGGCTGTGACAGGAGTGTCATGAATTTGAGATTTGAAACTAGTTTGGGCATCATAGCCAGACTCTGCTACAAACATACATGCACAGGTACACACACAAGGAAGAATTGTAAGAAATACATACTTTATAGAATCACTAAAGGAGAAGTCTTTTTATTTTTTGAGACAAGGTCCCCTATGGAGCCCCGGCTGACCTTGAACTCAAGATTCTCCAGCCTCAGCCTTCCATGGGCTGGGATTACAGGCATGCATCATTACAACCAGATGGAGAACTCCCTTCTCTAAAACAGACCACAAACAATATCCTTTTTCTTCTCTACACCAGGGAGGCTGCTAAGCATATGCCAAAGCCAGGCATAACTCATTTTTAGACAGATTCTGGCTTCACAGCCCAGGCTGGCTGTGGGTTTATTAGAGGTGGGAGGAGGAAGAGTGGCAGAAAGGGAGATGCCACATCTTCTGGGCTGAAATGCCACCTCTCCCTGCCTCCAGAGCCTTCCCATGTATATACCATCACGCAGTAGCTGCTCCTCCCAGGACTTTCAGTATATTCCAGACAGAGCTTCTCAAGAGATTCCATAAAGAATATTTATTAGTCATTTTAATTTAAAAAAATAAGCCCACAATTTCTGGGCAATAACCTAACACACAGTGAAAACTAGCATGAGAGACTCGGTTACACACCTGCTGCCATGCAGTGGCTCCCCAAGAGCAACAGCTCTGTGGGACCTGCACACTACCCCACACTGCCTCCCTTTCTGCAGGCATCCCTGCTGAAAGGAGGAAACTGAGGCACAGAGGTATAGGGGCCAGCCTGAGGTTAGACTGCCAGGAGATGAACACAAGAATCGAGCTGGAAGTCACAAGTTCCACAGGAAATGCGGCCCCAGGAAACATTTCTGTGGCCAAAAGGCAGCATGCAGGATCCAGCACACTCTACTACCATGCCCAGCCCTCCTCATGGAAAGCCAGCTGCATAGCCTCGTGCACATCATTCACCACGTGGGCCGCCTGCAGGAGCCCCGGACTGCAGCCGAAATCCCGGTGGCCATGGAACGGTAGCTCCCCAGACCCAGGCTCCCCAGGACGGTACACGCCGGTGCGCACCAGGATGGAAGTACAGCTCTGGGTGGCGGAGGGTGGCTGCTTCTGTAGGCCGCCAGCCCCTTGCTGCTCTGCCCGCACACCACGCTCTGCCATCTGCAGGTACTGGTGGAACAGGTTGGCCCCATAGACATCAGACATAGGATTATCACTGGCAAGGGAAACGGAGAGAGAAACCCAAATGCAGTGTTAAAAGGCAAAGCGGAGAATAATGTGAGGGGGTAAAAGCATGGTTCGGACATAGGGAATGGAGAGAGTGAGAGCTGAAGAGGGAGGGTGGACAGGGTGAGGAGACGGGTGCATACCCAACAGCATACAGCTTCTGGATGGGGGTGGTCCAGCCCCGCCTCTCCGCCTGCTGCCTGATCAGCTCCTCTGCATACTGATAGGTGAGCAGGCTGGGTTTGCCCATCAGGCCCTCATATCGCAGTTCCTTTCCGGTCATTTTCCGGTAGATAGCTTCCAGGCAAAGAAGAAAGGTGCCGTGGCCAAACCTGCCCAAGGGGAAAGCCTGGCAGCTCAGCCTCTAGGCCCCAGCCAGGCACACCAACCTCTCACTACAAAGTGTGCGGCTGAGAGATAAGTGAGACCCCTGCTGGGGAGGCTGGACAGGACTGAGCACTGCTCTAGCACAGGAGATGGTGCATTGTACTCATGATTCCTAGAAAGCCTGTGGGATGGAAACTAACACATCCAGAAATTGAGGCATAGCAAGATTCAGCACGATTCACTTGCCCATAGTGGTAGAGGTAAGATTACAATCCAGGCAGCTTAAATTTTATTTAGATATGCAGCAGGCTACTGGTTGCCATGTTCCCCTTCTCTGTTATTGCCAATTTTCAGCTGATCATATTGCAGAAAGTACATTCCCCGCCTTCCCTGAAGCTAGGTGTGACCATATAACTAAACTAGCATTAAATAGTCAATGAAAGCAAAGGGCTGGGGTAAACTTACAAAACAGCTTTAAAATTGGGGGGTGGGGTGTGCTCTTCTTTGTGCTCCTCTATTCTTTCCTGCCACTTGGAATGCTAATATGATGGCTGGCATCCAGGTAGCCACTTTGGATTATGTAGGGAAGGACTACAGGCTGCGCCAAGGGAAGACAGAAAAGACTTTGTCCCAGTACAGCATTCTCCCAACTTCTTTCACATGACAAAAAAATTCTATCTTATTTAAAACATTTTTGTTTTGGGATTTTTTTTTTTTTTTTTTTGTACCAGGGATTGAATTTGGAACCTTGCACTTGTGAGGCAGGCAGTGGTACCACTGAGCTAAATCCCCAGCCTTGTTTTGGGCTTTCATCCGTGGTTGCTAAACCAAATTCTAATTGATCCCGTGCTATATATTAGTTACACTTCAATCTCATTTATATAAAGAATTCTGAAGGGAAAAAATGCTGCATGCCTGTAGTCCCAGCACTCAGGAGGCCGAGACAGGAAGATCATTAGAAATTCGAGGCCATTCCAGAGGGATTTAGCTCAGTGGTTCCACCACTTGCCTCACAAGCGCAAGGACCCAAGTTCGATCCCCAGTAACAAAAAAAAATAGAAAGACAGAGAGAAAGAAAGAAAGATGGATGGATTAATTTTGCCTGTTGGCTTTGCTTTTTTTTTTCCAGGATTGGGAACTAAATCCAGAGCTTTCACACTGAACTACAACCCTGCATTTTTGATTTAGCTCAGTGGTTCCACCACTTGCCTCACAAGCGCAAGGACCCAAGTTCGATCCCCAGTAACAAAAAAAAATAGAAAGACAGAGAGAAAGAAAGAAAGATGGATGGATTAATTTTGCCTGTTGGCTTTGCTTTTTTTTTTCCAGGATTGGGAACTAAATCCAGAGCTTTCACACTGAACTACAACCCTGCATTTTTGTTTTGCTTTGCTTCTGAGACAGCATCTATCTCACCAATCTGCCCAGACTGGGCTCAAACTTGTGATCCTCCTGCCTTGGCCTCCCCGAAGGACTGAGATTATAGGCATGCACCACCATACCTTCCTCTCAATCACTGAATAAAAATTAATCCTGTCTGGTGTATAAAGCTCTGTCACCAGCTATCTAGTGCCATCTAAAAACTGTCCTTTGGAAAAAACACCAAAACCGAGCTCTGGAAATACACTTTAAAAGTGACAAGGGAAACACCATATGCTGCTTGCTTTCTGTGGAGCTCCTCAGTCCCAGGACTTGCAGCAGTCCTGGCCCCGACACCTGGTGCTGACCAACCATTTATACAGCCCAGTGGCAAGTGAGAAGAGCAGGACTCCAGCCCTGCTGCTCAGAACAGCCACAGGACAGTGCAGCCATCACTGGCCTCACAGTAAGGCTTTCTGAGCACCAGAAAAAGGGCTACCTAGCAGCCAGAGAAGGAAAGAAGAAAGATGTCTTCAGAGTGAGCAGAGTGCCCAGGCTTACTCAACACCCACATGCCTGACCAGGCCTTGGTCCATGGCTCTGTCCCACCATCAGAACAATCCTGGCTGCCCCTGCCCCTATATCTCACACGTAAATGCAAAGAAGCAAGAAAAGCAATGTTGGCTAGGGATTTAGCTCAGTGGTTCCACCACGTGCCTCGCAAACTCAAGGTCCCGAGTCTGATCCTCAGTACCAGAAAAAAAAAAAAGAAAGAAAAGCAATGTCACAGGGAGTAAGGAAAGAGAGAGGTGAGTAACATGCACTGACACTCCTCACCCACTGTCCTTAAAAGTGTGTTAAGATTATGGAGCACAGGTGGTGTGTGTTAAAAATCACTTCCACACCCAGCACTCGGGAGGCTGAGGCAGGAGGATCATTGTGAGTTTGAGACCAGCCTGAGCTACATAGTGAGTTCCAGGTCAGTCTCAACTACCTAGTGAAACCCTGTCTCAAAAAACCAAAAAAAAAAAAAAAAATCATCTCCACAACCCAGCATGGTGACACATGCCTGTAATCCTAGTACTCAGGAGGCTGAGGCAGGAGGATCACTTCCACACATCTTTGTGCTCAGCAGCCTGTAGTTTCAGGTCAGTAATGAATGGTTGAAGAGATGGTCGAAAACCTTTCCAGAGGCCCAGTTACTGTGACAACTATAGGGCCCAGTTAGGTAGTCACCAGCCCCCAAGCATCAGAATGACAGTGACAAACTGCTCCCAGGACTGGTCATGCAGCAGCTTGAAGCAGGCCACTATGGCCAGGGCTGGGGACCCTATGTCCTCACCTGGGCATCTTGGCCTCAGCCATCCAAAGAAGATCCATGTTGCTGGCCAGGACAGGGAGGTGTGGATAGGGTGCTGTTGCCAGGCCAGTGCCAGGGTTCCCATCGCTGAGGAGCACATCCACGATCAGCTGCAGGCTGGTCTCCCAGCGGACTGGCTCCCCGAGGAGGAGCACACCTAAAAGAGCAAAGGGGTAAGGGGTGAGGGTACTCACCTGCCCTTTGTGGCAGGCCCAGGAGGCTGTGGAGACAGGCTGGTGCAATCCACCTAGAACGCCTCCCTATGCTGCTTACACACAGGCAAGGCTGCCTTCCCAAAGCTCAGGGCACAGGAAGAGGGTCCCGACAGCCCAGTCTTCTGGCACTGAAGAACTGAACCAAGAAACGCAAGCTGCCCACTGCTTCCTCCTGTTGACTGGGGCTCTGCCCACCACGCTCCTTACCCCACGAGCTCTTTGCAGGGGGGCTCTCTCACTAGCCACTTCTCTCAGGGACCCAGAGACCAGCATACCCAATGGCCAAGGACTGACAGCCCTGACCCTGACAGTGTTCCCACAGGACAGTGGCAGTGATTTCCCTTCTCTAACCTCACTCTCCACAACACCTACTTATGGTGCTGCAAGGGTAAAAGTGAGATCTAGCAAACACTTCCCCCAGTGCCAGACACACAGCCAGCAGGCAGGAAGCAATAGCTGCAGTGTCACCCATAAGACTGGGGAACTGAAGCTCATCCGTGGCTCTCAACAGTGCAGTGGTAACCTGGGGAGGTGTATTCGAAAGGGAGGACGCAGGCACTGGGAATGTAATTCAATGCTACAGTGCTTGCCTGGTATGTACAAGGCCTGGGTTCCATCCCCACTGCCACCAAAAAAAGAGGAGGAGGAAGAGGCTATGTATCTATAGAGGAGGCTATATAGAAAAGTGATACACCTAGTAGGTGAGGAAGTCCTGTACAATCAAAACTGTTCCGCACCTTAAGAGTATCTGAATGTCTCACCTGGTATTCATGTAGCTGGACAACCTGGTCAATCTACGTGAGCTAATTCCATTTCACACAATATCACAAAGGAATTTTTAATTTTCATGAAGTACCTTTGTATACTTTTAATAAACACTAATTTTTCTTAAAATGCAAGGATCATTTGCAGGATTATCAGAAGACCGTTTTTCTTAAAACTTTACTAAGAGTTGTTTTCTAGCATGGACAATCCCTTCACCAACGGCAATGCTGAGCTGGGTATGGTGGCACACGCCTGTAATCTCAGCACTTGGGAGGCTGAGGCAAGAGGATCGCTGTGAGTTCGAGACCAGCCTGGGCTACATAGTGAGTTCCAGGACAGTCTCAACTATGTAGTGAGACCCTGTCTCAAAAAAACAAAACAAAACAAACAAACAAACAAAAAAAGGCAACACGATGCCCCAGCAACACCCTGCATCACCAGTATAAACATACAGCACATACAGCTAGAACATTCACAGTGAGTCTGTGTTTAGTGCAATCATTCACTTTTGGATAATTATTAAATATCAAAACACTGTAATCTTTTGTTATTGTTTTTTTTGAGACAAGATCTTGTTATATAGTCCAGGCTGGCTTTGAGCTCACAAGTAGCCCAGGATGGCCTTAAACATGCAATGATCCTCATGCCTTCCAGGAGCGGAGAATACAGCCTTGCACCCCACACCTGGCAAAACTTTAACTTACTACAACTTTTCCTTTTATTTTACCCTATTACAGTTAAGGTTTCATATCTGACTACTTCTTAAAATGTATTTATGGAAAAGTTTCATCACCCATGAATTTCAATTCAGGATAGTAAAGAGGAAATTACATTTTTGTTGTACAAAGAAGAACTGGCTTTAATAAAGTTGAGAAACACTGGAGTGAATTGTGTCTTGGTACTTTTCAACCTATAAGCCTCGAAGCTTACAATTTTTCCACCTAACAAGGTGAGCAACACGGGAAAGGAAAGAAATAGCAAACATTCCCCAGGTGGCAAGTGGCAGATCCAGGACCAGAGCCCAGATGCTGTTCTGTGCAATGTTACCCTACCAGGCCAGGGGCAAACAGTCAGACTACACCAGCCCGACAGCCAGGAAGGAGGAAGAAAAAGACCCTCCACTCACACAGGAAGAAGGTCTTTTACCTTCAATGGTGGGGAAGTCACTCCTCAGAAGGGGCTGTCAAGAGACAAAGAGGGTGTCAACCAACAGTCATCATCTGGAAAAGCCCAGAGAAGCTCGTCTCCAGAGTGAGGAGGAAAGGGACCTTCCCCAAAGACCACCCCCATCCAGCCCCAGGCAAGGAAAAGCTGCACAGGACCAAGGAAGAAGATTCACAAACAACAGCCAAGTGGTCTCAGCATGAGGTGAGGGACAGCACACTAAAGAGAGAGGAAGCAAGACATGAGCCAAACAAGACTCTAGAGCCAGCCAGGCATGGTGGTACACGCCAGGAGTCCTAGTATTAGGGAGGCTGAGGCAGGAGGATTGCCCTGAGTTTGAGGCCAGCCTGTGCTACATAGTGAGACCCTTTCTCAAAAAAACAGACATAAAAAAGTCTCCAGAGCCAGTGAGCTACAGGTAGTCCCCGGTGAGAAGACTCCAACAAGAACTGGTGGACTGTCCACCTGACAGCAGTTAGCAGGCAGAACCTTTACTTTACTGGCCTCTTGGGGTTCATCCTACCCCAGCCACTGCAGCCTTGGCTCTTCCACCACACAGTTCTGTGACCTGGGCTATGTCACTTCCCTGTGTGGGGCTCAGGCCTGAGTGGCTCTGAGTCTCTTCCTACTCTAAATTCTGGTTCTCCACAGACAGAAAGGTCTCGGAGAAGGGAACACATTCTACAGCTGGGAAACTCTGGAGAAGATAATATCTTATAAATAAATGAATGTGTGCCTGTTTATAGCTGCATTTCATTACGCGACTGAAAACAGAAGTTTCACGGTGTATATAAAGCTCACCTGAGGATATGGTTCAAGGACCCCTCAGGACACAAGAAATCATGGGCTAGGGGTGTAGCTCAGGATACCACATCTACCTAGTATGTGCAAAACCCTGGTTGCAGCCCCAGCACTACAGAGAGAAATCAAGCCAAAGTTTTGATATGAGCAGAACCAAAAAACACATGGGCAGAAGCACCAGTGCTCCATTACCAGCGAGCCACCTCTCCTAAGGGCAGCTCCCTGGACTGTGCTTCAGTAAACAGCTGTGGAGCAGTGAGTACTTTAGCAAAGGTTAACAATTCTCCAGAGGTACACAGAGGAAAGTGGTCTGGTATATACAAACCAGTTAGAGGACATGTGGAGACCCGAAAGAGGTTCCCAGCTCATTACAAACAACCCAGAAAGGCACGGGCTAGGAGTCTGCCACTCTTTCCTATCTAGAGAACAATCTCTGGCCAGATACATCTCTCCACAGCAGCCACACTCAAAAGCACAGATAAAGCACAGCTCTCAGCAGAAGGTTGGCAAAGTCAGCAAGGGAAGCCAGCAGAATGGACAGGACAGAAGTAAACAGAGACCCCAGAGAGACTTGGAGGGTGACATGACCCAACCTGCACGCCTCGTTACCGTGGCTGTCGGCCGCCGCTCGAGATCCACCATGTCCAGCACAGGGAAGGCTGTCCGCAGCTCCTCCACAGTAACTACATTCCGGAAGCACAGGCTGAAGCAAGATCAGGAAGCAAAGCTGGACAGTTCTGAGGAAGATGCCTTTCTGAACACACCAGAGCATAAGCAAGGGGACACAGACAGTTCTCCTAGTCACACGAGGAACATAGGATGCCAGACATCCTACAGGATGGGTGCCGAGAGGCAGGCCACAACAGCATGGGCTGTGTGATCAGACAATGCCAAGCAACCCTTCGGCACCTGCCAGGGTGCAATGGTGCATGGATCTGTGCTCATATGGCAGACAACATGCCCAGAGCACATCCAGACTTGCACAGACTTGCACTCCACGAACAGCGCTGGTGCTGAGTGTGGTGCTCAGAGGATACCTCAGTGGCTGAGAGCCTAGTAGTCTCGGGGGAGTCAGACAGCAGCTACAATCTGCAGGACAACTCAGCAGAGGCCAATAGATGGCCAAGCCAGTGAGGTCTTTCTCTTGTAAGACCTGCCTCCATCTTCCACCCCGCAGTTCCAACCTGCAGTCCTACCTGGACCTGGTTGCGATGACTCTCCAAACACATTTCCCCAAATGAGGGTGCAGATCACACCTCAGCGGTGAAGCCTCCCCAATACCACAGTAAGTATGCCCTGAGAACTCCTGGCCTGCCTGCTCCTCTGTCCTCTAACTCCCACCTGCCCCATTCCAACCTCTCATCTTGCCTGCCGAGAAACCTAGGCCATCTCCTGGGGCACAGCCATAACCCTCCATGGGGCCCCAGGCCACACCTGCCAGACAGTCACTCCCCTGGAGAACCTACCCCATGCTTTGTAGCCTGAAGTCATTTGCCATCTTGTTCTTTTTCCCTTGTGGTTCTGGGGATGAAATTCAGGGCCTCCCAAATGCTAGGCATACACTCTGCCACAGAGCTGCAGCCCCAGCCCATCACATGCAATGATAAATATCCTTTTACTGCTCATGGGTGACTCCTCTTACTCAAGTATGGGCCCCTGACAAAGTCACAATCCTAATGCCCCTTCCTCGGTCTCCTGTCCCCTTTAGCCATGCAGCACAGCATAATGGCAAGGAGGCACCCAACACAAAGGAACAGGCTGCTGAGAACAGGTACCATGTCCTCTGCTTCCTGATGCACACTCGCCAAACAGGAGCTCCCTGCTCAGTACTAAATGATGAGCTGACTGAGCGCCCTGACGAAGAGGGCTGGAACAGTGTTCCCCAAAGCTAATTACAGAATCACCTGGAGAGTTGTCTGTTTTTTAAAATGCAGCTTCATGGGTTGGGGCAGAGTGCTTGCCTAGAATGCACAAGGCCTTGTTCCATCCCCACAACAGTTTCTTGATGCCCACCCTAGCCCTAGTGAATCAAGATTCTCCAACCAGGGGTAAGGCACAAGACTCTGCACTTAAATCTCTGCAGAAGACTTGGTGTGGACTGACTTTCCAGAGCTACCAGACATGAGGCTGCCCTCAGTGGGAGCCTCCTCCTGCCCCAAGAGCCCACCCATACACTCCTTCACCCTGAGCCCAGACACTGCACCACAGTCCCCATCAGCCACGCAGGGAGGGCCTGTCCTCTCCATCAAGAAGACCGAAAGGATACGCTCGGGCATTCTCCACCACGGGTCCCTGCCCAGACACCAGCATCCACTTGTCATGGTACTGTGAAAAGAGCTTCATGGGGCTGTGAGAGAGAATGACCTGGTCTGGCTCCACCTGCAGGGAAAACCACAAGACAGAGGACAGCAGAGAAACACAGAGTTGAGAAAAAACAATGTAGAGACAGGTGGCAGGCTTTTACCTGAGAAAGAAAAACTGCTCAGAAAATGAAGGGGAAAAAGCCATCTCTGGCAGCTGACACTCAAAAAATACTCAACATGTGTAAGAGGACTGCTTCTTTTGGTTCTTGCCACACGAAACGAGAACAGAAATAGCATGAGAAGTGAAGTCTGGCCAGTGTTAGGCTTACTGATGCCCCTCTAGATCTCTCAGCCCCCAACATGGAGACCTCTGATTCACACGCATTTTCCTTATCAGTCACAGAAATATGCCTCCCACTTTGGCTACCTGTTTTCAAATCTACTCAAGCTCTTTAACATTTATACTTACTCCAACAATTTTGACTCAGAACGCTCTGAAACCTGCTCCTGGAAACCACAGCAGGGAGCCAATTCTATTCCTTTACTCTGTCCTAAACCTCAAGCAGAGTCACTGAAATAATCAGCCACTTTACTGGCTCTCTTGGCTCCACAGGACTCCTTCCAAAAACTAGTCACTCTTAAACTAGAACACATCTGTGTGAACTGCTTTCAGACAGCCCTTCTGCCGATGCCCACCACTCATCCACACAACACATGGGCTGTGACTGCACAGTCCCACCCAGATGTGTGGACTCAGGGGACAACAATCCCAAAGACACAACCCTCGTGGCCAGAAGAAAAGAAGGGGATATGACAAAGTAAACCTGCCAAATACAAGGACAGGACTTTTGTGCTCACTCAATTACATGTGTGTGCATGTGTGTGTGTGTGTGCGCACGCGCACGCCTGTGTCTAAGACCTTACTGATGAGGCTCAGCTTGAATGGGCAGGATTGAAAGATTTCCACTGGCCACAACTGAGGGCTTACTGACACTGTACCCCAACCATGGGAAGGGAGGCAGAACTGGAGTTGGGGTTCCAAATGGAACCATCTCTGGGTTTCCATACCTCTGCTTGTCTCCTTACCTTGCACCCCAGCAGGTCTGACAGCTCCTGGGCTTTTCTGTGTTGTAAGATGTTCCCAGCATTTGTGACAAAAACCACAGGCACCCGCAACTGGCCCTGAGTGTTCGTCAGCCTGTGAAATGCTTCCAGAGCAGCTGGTATGACTTTGTGGCCCCGCACCAGCACTCCATCAATGTCCAACAGGAACCCAAAGGTAGGCGGGCTCTGCACAGAGAGAGCAGAGATTCATCAGTGCATGAGACAAGAGCCCAAAAGGAGAAGAGAAACTGTCATCCTCAGGTCACTCAGGATCTAGGAGAAACTAAAAAATGAAGGCACATGGGCCAGGGATTTAGCTCAGTGGTTCCACCGCCTGCCCTGCAAGTGCAAGGACCCAAGTTTGATCTCCAGTACCAAAAAAAAAAAAAAAAAAAAAAAACGCACAGTCCTTCCCCTCTTCTTTCTGCTAGGACTCAAACCCAAGCCCTATACAAACAAGCCAGGCAAGCACTCTACCCCTGAGCTATAAGACACAGTATTGCTTTCTTTTGGGGTGGGGGTACCGTAGATCAAACTCAGGGTCTTAAGCTTACAAGGCAGGTGGCAGAAACACTGGGCTAAATCCCCAGCCCAAGACACAGTATTTCTGAATGCCCAAATCTGTATTTAACAAAGAATTGTTCTTTTTCATATTCCTTTAAGCACATTAAGTAAATGCAAAGGAATTGAAACTATCCCATGCATATTATCAGACCACAGTGCAATAAAATTGGAAATCAACGGCAAAAGAAATCACAAAAACTTCATAAACATATGGAAATTAAATAACACCCTCCTGAACAACCAATGGATCACAGATGAAATTATAGAAGAAATAAAAGACAGTTTCTACAATTGAAAACAATAATGACAATATAACATACTGGAACATATGGGATACAAAGAAAGCAGTGCTATGACAGAAATTTCTCTAACAGGAAAACAGAGCAGGATCAAATAAATAACCTAATGTTGAACCTCAAGTTTCTAGAAAAAGAAGAGCAAGTCAAGCCCATATTTAAGCATCTGACTTCTTTGCTAAAACATATAC